TTTGAATTATACAATTTTAGTGTCTGTCTGACTCATTAAAGTATTCTAATTCAGTTGATTTAATTAAAACTTTGTCAAATCCTGTTGTCATGTGTTTTTAGAATATGTGTGCCAGTGTTGTACTTAATTTGTACATTGTGCTGTTTGTTATTCCAGCCGCTCACTACTGAGTCCATTACAAAGCAAATACTAACTGGTGAATGATCAAACCACTTTTGAAACAACTTAAACACAAAAAATCACAACAACACTGAATAACCAGCCACTCAGAACTGAAATCAAAAACAAAAACCTCTTTATACCCTCATACTGGTAAAAAAACAAAAAAAAAAACAAGGAAATATTCAACTTAATTATATCTCTTCATTTTAAAGATAACTGTTAATCAACATAGTAAATGCTTTATGATTATTGTGCTTTATTTTTGGTTGTGTTTGAACCAGCAGGAAAAGACGACGCAATAATAAATCAAAATAAAGGAAATCTTTTCCTTCTGTGAGCATCAGATAACAGAAATAACAGAAAACTGCTCAGTTTTGGGGCTAGTCTTTAGATTTAGAACCAGATGTGGGTAAATATTCTGAATTTGATTTAAAAAGTGAAAAAAAAACACTGAGTAAGAGTGTGTTTTGACGTCTGTTTGTAAAGCTCAATTACACAACTGGTCACCTGTCATCCTTTTAAATGGGACAGCAGGTATGGAAAGACAAACAATTAACTGGACTTTAGGGGTCTTAGCCCAGAAAACAATGTTCAAACATAGAAAAAAATAGAGATCCTCATTTTTCCCCATCAGAAAATATCCATCACTATTAAAGATGAGTGACCAGAGGCTAATTCTGCATTAATTTGCTGTTTTTCAAACTGAACTTAAATGGAAACAATGTCAGGTGGTTGGTTACTAAAAAGTGGGTCAAACTCATACGTAAAATAGGAGAAGACAGGAGAATAAAACTCTTCAGAAACTGGGTTGGAGTCTGGACTGACTGATGATCAATAAACATCATTTTGATTAGATTTTCCCAACTCCTAATCTTCGTTTTTGGTCAACGAACAATAGCAGAGTTACATTTTGCGAGGGCGATTTTAACTCATTTTTAGGCTTTACAGTTACAAGAGTGAGAGGTTTCTGCATTTTTGTGCCAAATGTGAGCGAGAAAGCAGAAACTTTCAGGAATTATTTGAAGATGAATTATATTCAGCACTTTTAGTATAATTCTTGTACATGTACAGTAAATCTATGCTATTTTAAAGTTCTAGGAGTTGACGATTAAAGGTTTGACGGGCCTGTGATGGGTAAATGTGTTAGGTCAATCATTTCTTTATTCAACTAATAAGGAAATTGTAGAGGCCTACGTTAGTAATAGTGAGAGTGTGAACGCAAATGCTTATTGAATCTTGAATATGCTCACTCTGTTACATTCATATCTTATCACTTTTCAAGTCACTTGGTCGCATATTAAAAGTGTGTTGGATAGTAAAAGTACACAGTTTTATAAACAAAACAAAAAAAACTAAAAAAGAAACTTTCAGGAGAACAAGATGAACCGTGAAGAACCTTCCTTTTTGGATATTTCCCGGTATGCGAATGTTTATGGATGTAAATCATCTTACCGGTGCTGATGAAGGCTCCTATTAGGAGCGTTGCTTTGAAAAGGTCCATGTTGAGCCCCTTGTAATGGCACCCCATAGTCTACTCTCACAGAGGTCCCTCCTGGTAAATTGTTGGGCTCCTTTTAGCATGTCAGGAGGACAAATAAGGCATGAGTCAATAGTGAATCATTACCCTGACAAGGACAAGCTAAAGAGCAACGGTTCAAAATCCTTGTTTGTGGGATTATTGGGAACAGACAAAGTTTTTTTTAGCATCCCAGGGTTTCGTTCGTGAAGTTCTCAGTTCTCACCTGGTTCCGGTTTCCTGTTCTGCTCTTTAAGAAAGCAGGAGGTATTTTAAAGAACAGAGGATCCCTATAAAGGATGATAAGTGTAAATCAAAGCAACAGAGACTAAATCAAGAGAAGCTTCCTGACCTTTGACCTCTTCACATAGATGTGTGGATCCTTTTAGCTGTGAAACATTTGAGTCAAAACCTCTGAATATTAACGCTTTTCTGTGATGCTGATGGTTGTTTACAGGTCAAATGAATCAGCCATTTTTCAGTCTGGTGATTTAGATTGATGCTCATTAAAAAAAAAAAAGATCAATGTCTGCTGTTAATCTTCAGCTGAAGGGGATCAATGCCCTCCAACGCAAACACGATTACACAAAACAACCAACTTTGGACGGTCCAGTAGAGCAGCCTATCATTCTTTTAATCAAGTCCTACATTTAAATGTGTAATATTATTATTATGGGAGCAATTCAACTGAATTAACCTAAGTTTAAACCAAAACAAAAAACAAAAAAACCTTAGTATCATTAGTGTCATTCATCAAATAGTGAATACTTGCCTGTAATGTGAGGTTTGAGAGGTTTTCCCTGCTTGGTGGTCCATTTCCAGCCAATTTCTCTGCACAATGCAGCTAATAAATGGGATTTTAAAGAGGGATAATCGACTTATCCCAATTTAAAATCAACCGTGCTGCTTTCACCATCAGTTTTGAGATACTTAGCATCAGAATTGTGTCCAGTCGACTTTCTTTTTTTACCTTTAAAGCCGCAATTGATGATTTATTTATTGCCGTTGAGCTTTAATATGCAGTCTGATGACAGGAGGGAGAAGAAGGGAAATTGTGAACAGAGTAAGTATTAAAAAAAAAAGAAAAAAACATAAATACAGAGAAAGCATTGAGACCAAAACAGCATGTGCATCATGTAGGGTAGCAGAGCAAAAGGCCGCAGCATCCAGAGAAGAGAAGCATCCATTTCCTGTTTCTTTATGAACACATAAAGAACTGATGAGGATCAGTGTAAGGCCTTAAAGCCGCCAGCAGAGGGCGCCACTGACCGTAAACCAGAGTTAAGTGGATCCCTCTGACTTAAGACTGCTGGAGAAAAGACAGATTATTGACTTGAGTAGTCTTTTCCAACAGGCTGTTTGACTTTTTTAAGGAAATTTAGGTAGAAAAACAGTGCTCAAGTCAATAAGATGGAGTCAAGTGTGGGAAATAAAACATAATCGCTCTTAATAATAAGATCCACCATCACAAAGTAGTTATCAGAGTTTACGAGTCCAAAAGGTCAAGTCTAGAACGGCCATCAAATCAAAAGCATGATATAATTTAATTTATTCTCGTTTTTCTGATGGTTTAAGGGACTCTGGAGTGTTTCCACCTTGAAGC